TGATTGGGTGAACTTGAGTGCCTATTACTTCGCTCCACCAAATACAGTGTAGGTAAGAAAAACGGAATCTAAGAGTTTCATACAAAAGGGAGAGAAATAAATTTTCAGAAAGTTGGACATGGAATTTTCATAAGTGATAGAACACATCCTCAAAAGTGAAGACATCATTGGAATCTACCGACATCTATCAAAAACAAAAGAATAATTTCAACTCCTTATCATAAGGGCGGCAATCTTATGAGTCAAACTGATAAAAAATTGAATTGGGCTGAGTAAATAAAACTGTTATACATGGCTGAATTATGAAAATAGTATGGCCAGACGGGCGAATATGTTTCATTCTATTTCGTGGACAACACATAATTCGCCTATCAGAAAAGGTATATATGGCTTACAGCTGTAATATTTTGAGGAGTATCCCAAGAACTTGGCGAGTCCATGTAGGCGGGATGGTAGTAGCCAGAATAATTAATTTGAGCTTGCTGTCTTGAATACTGAAGTGGGGGGCTCTGGTGCTCCTGAGAAACGTAAGAACAAGGTGGAAATTGGGGCTGATACTGGTACATATTAGTCTGGTTTTGACTTGGTATTGTAGTAGAGTATGTTGGTGTAACTATTTGACTCTGCACCTGGCTTTTAATCTCATATTTGGCAGATAAGTTATTCGGAAATACGTTGGAAGCAGGTGACGGGAGAGGAATGAGTGATGGAACATTTGAGCGCTCAATATTCGCAATATTAGCTGTGACGTTGAAATGGCCAGATGGGGACTTATTGTGGCTAGCTATATCAAATGGCTGTACAGCTTGTGGGCAAGGAGGCTAAAAATTGAAAAATGTATATAACATAGCCAAGATATAAGAGTGAAGCAGAGAGACCTACAAGAACGTTTGATTGGGTTACAGGAGATGGAGGAGAGGAAAAAGTGCTCCTTTTGAATTCTGCTGCCTTACGGACCCCCTGAGACTCGCCTACTTTGCTTCCAATCAATGAAGAGGCCTAAGAAAATAAAGAAAATGGAGTAACTACGTGAATATTACAGATTCGTCCGAGTTCATTGAGAACCATGCCATGCCTAATAGAGAACCTCGGCAAATTGTAATGGCAAAAGAATGATTAATAAATTAAAAAAACATGTACAATAAAAGCATATCAAATCAAGTGAGTGAGCACCATAACGAAGTAGCCCATAAGTATAGTCATATTGTGACAGGAAGCTTATAATGATAAAGCTAACCGAAAAATAGGCATTAAATAAGAGTTTAAAAAGACGAATAATTTATTTTAAATAAAGCATGGAGAAATTAGCGTACATAACCAACTCCATTAACTCCAAAGAAGTCGGAATCCACAGGCCGACCACTGGCTACACGATCGATGAGACGAATCAGCAAAGTTCTAACAACACTTAATTGTCTAGCCAATATAATTGCTTCATTGTAGGTCACAAATGTCTTAGAATTGATTTCCATTTCATTTAGAGTTTCTTCAACCTTAGAAAGTGCCACTGGCGGATCTTCTAAATAAGGTCATCTAAATCAGTAATACCAAAAATTTCCAATCTAAGAACCTTGTCTGACTTAATTGCTAGATCGAGATCACTATCATCCACAATTGTAATCAAATCACCCTCTAGTTGGGTATAAAATGCAAACATTTTACCAATATCTCTATACTTGATTATTATGCCGTCCAAACTCTTAATGGATTTCTTAAAAACTCGCTGAATCATGAGGAGAAGCTCATCGTATGTAAGCTCGTCATTGTTAATTGGTATTTTTCTAGTATCATCGCCATATTTGATTTTTATTATGAACCACTTCATAACAAAGTAATATAAAGCAAAAACGCGTCACAAATGTCTTAAATGACGCTGGGAGATAAACGAAATAGTTAAAATTGCGAATGCTCATTTATAAGACTTAATAAAAATTTAAATAACGATGAATTATTTTAATTATATATATAATTTGGTGCTATTTTTGGCAAGAAAATCTTAAAAAGTTTAAGTTATAATCTTTAAGCTACATTATCGAAAATATTTTAAAATATGACATTCCTAGAAAATTATATAGGCTCGCTAGTTGATATTTAAAAATCGTCAGTAAGTCTTGCCATTCTTAGTACCATACAACAACTTGTCAAAGAAAGAAGTGAAGTCGATCCTTTAATTAATTGTGAGCTAAACAGTTGTGGTGTCTCTCCTTCTGTCCTGGGCTATTCACCTATCCTATATCCTCGTTTCACACCTTCAGTAACACAATTTCCTTTCCTTTTCTTTTTTTTTCTTGCTTATTTAAATGTAATGTGTTGTGCCCATTTTAGAGGCTTTCATGTGAACCCTCGACACTCCACTCTGGCGTTATCACCCGCCTTCCCCCTCGTGCCAGGAATGTTGATTAGAGTATAGCATATTGTTGCGCATTCCTCCTTACTTGGGTCTTATCATAGTCTCCATCTTGCTACGTAGGATCCGTCTGCTATACTCCTGCCACTCCAGCTGTGCTACTTGAGGCGTTATTACCCAGCCACTGCATCTGGGTGATGAATTCGAGGCTAACGACTGAGTAATTCTCATGGTTAAGCCTTTGCTACATGGACAACGTCTATTGTAAAACAGGCCTATTGTCAGCCAACTAGCTCTAGTCTCCGCTACGTCTATCCTGTTTATATCCGTAATACCAAGTCTATGACTTGCTATGCCCTAGTCTCTTGTATGCAAACTCACAAATGCTGTGGTACTGCTTGCTTTAATTAGGTTCAATGTTAAACCATAACATTTGTGGGTTGACACACAGGAGACTTGGGATAGCATGCCATAGACTTGGTATTAGGGATAGAAATAGGATAGAAGCGGCGGAGACTATAACTTGTTTGGAGACAGTAGGCCTGTTTTATCATTATCATGAATACAATGGACTTCGGACTATGTGTGTTCCTCTAAGCTTTCCTTCCAATATGACTTAGTTTCAAAAAGAAGGTCAAAGAACTTATATATAACAACAGGAGACTGCGATCACACAAAAGACAACACCATCTTGGTTTTCATATCTTCTATTTTTTTAGTTGTGTTATAATATCTAATGGCACGTAAGAGAGAGGACCTCAATTCTCTGACAGACCTCTTTTGTAGTAAGGAGAGATATCCTTTTTAACTAGTATTCCTCTTAGGATATTCATATAAATCGTTTAATTTATACGCAATACACATTATTTATTCATAATTTGTTTGACTTATTATAAAATGTTTAGGTTATCTTCATAGTTAAGTTTAAATACGATGTTTTTAAGAGAATTATTTTGAGATAAATTTTGCCCAAAATTAATA